GTAGGTATGATAAATATGTAGATAAGTAGGTGAGAAGGGTTGAGTATAGAGAAGTGAGAGAGATATGAGGGGGTTGAGAGGAGATATAGAGAGAGGGTACGGTAGAATAGGTGAGTAAATAAGGGACTAAGGTGATAAGAGAGGGAGAAGCGATGAAGAAAGAGTATGAAAAGAAATTTTAAAGTTATTGTGACTATGATATAACCTTCCATCCAAGGGATAAGATAGATTGTATGTATACTACATTTAATGCACGTACGTTATCACAATCAAAAAATCACTTAGCACATTAACACACATAAATACGGCTCGGAGTATGTTCTTTGATGCAACGTATCATAAAGATTGCACTTCCTATAACTCATTTAACTATACAGACATTGTACACAGTATACTCTTATTTGTAAAGCGAGACAAAGAACACACACACACTAACCACAACACACACCACAAACTTTTACAGAAAACCCAACACACACACACCGCACTACCACCACTAACACAAACACACACACACACACACACACACACACTTACAGCCCAAACCAACACACGCACACACATACAAACCTTCCATCCCCAACACACACACACACACACACACACACGCACTCCAAAACAACACACGCACACACGCACACACACTCACACAAACCTTCCAACCCAACCCACAACCCACACACACACACACGCACTCCAACCAACACACACACACGCACTCCAAACCCAACCCAACACACACGCACACGCACTCCAACCAACCCAACCCAACACACGCACACACACACACACACACACAGAGTCCCACACACACGCACAGAGTCCCACACACACACAAACCATACAGTCCAACACACACGCACTCCAACACACACACACCCAAAAACTTCCAACCCAACCCAACCCAACCCAACACACACACACACACACGCACTCCAACACACACACACGCACACACAGAGTCCCACACACACCGGGCGAGCGTGGCGAAATAACGAAGCACAGAGACGTTCCACAAGACCGCTTGTCAAAACACCAGCCCGTAATTATCCGAGAGATGATTGTGATAAAACGAATTAAACCTTCCTGGTCTTGCACTCGGGGTCCCTTGAGGCCGAGCCAAAGCTAAATAGACACGGGAGAACGAGGAATAACGGGCGATAAGGGGATATAATTAAGATAATGATGGTGAGAGGCCGTGAGAGTGATGATGATGATAAGGGGAAATAATTAAGATAATTATAGCGATGATGGTGATAAGGGGAAATAATTAAGATAATTATAGCAATGATGGTGTTATGGGGAAATAATTAAGATAATTACGGTGAGAGGCCCTGATAGCGATGATGGTGTTAAGGGGTATTAATTAAGATAATTATAGTGAAGATGGTGTTAAGGGAAATAATTAAGATAATGATGGTGAGAAGCCCTGATTGCGATGATGATGATAAGGGAAATAATTAAGATAATTATGGCAAGAGGCAGTGATAGCGAAGATGGTGATAATTATTGCTTTTGGTAATGGTAGTTATGGCGGTGACAACGGTACTTAACAGTGATAATGGTACTTCATGCACTTGGTCATTATGGTATCAAATAGAATAATTGTACTTGGTAATAATAGTAACGATTATGCCAATTATTGCATTTATTACTATTACAGTTTAGTACATCTTAAATTCCTCTGGTTTTACTCTTTAAACTTGCATTTTCTCTCTCTTCTCTCTCTCTCTCTCTCTTTCTTTCTCCCACTCTCTCTCTTTCTCCCTCTCTCTCTCCCTCCTTCTCTCTCTCTCTCTCTCTCTCTCTCTCTCTCTCTCTCTCTCTCTCTCTCTCTCTCTCTCTCTCTCTCTCTCTCTCTCTCTCTCTCTCTCTCCCTCCTACTGCACCGTTCCTTCAATGATTTTCTCGTTTTTTTTCGACCTCTTCCTTCCTTCCTTCCACCTTTTTATCCTTTCTATCCATTGTCTCCCCTACTTCCTTGATTCACCTTCCCTTCTTTCCTCATTTCTCTCTTTTCTCGTTCGCACTTTCCTTTCTCCCCTATTTTCCTCTTCCCAGTAAATTCTTCCTTTCTCCGCCTCCTTCCTCCTCCCTCTTCCCCGTCCCTCCCACGCATAACTTTTCTTCCTTTTTCTCCGCTGTCCCTCCTTCCTCTGCCTCCTTCCTTTCAGAAACTATCCTCTCTTTCTCCCTTTTCTATACCCTACTCCTTGTACTCCTCTCCTTCCGCCTTTCCCTCCCTCCCTCTCCCTCCTTCCTTCCCCTCCATCTCCCTCCGCCTTACCCTCCATCTTCTCTTCCCTCCCTCCCTTCTTCCTTCTCCTCCATCTCTCCTCCCCTCCATCTACATCCTTCCTTCCTCCCCCTCCATCTCCTCCCTCCTCTCCATCTGCCTCTCTCCCTCCCTCCCCTCCATCTCTCTCCCTCCCCCCCCTCCCTCCCCTCCATCTCTCCTCCATCTCTCTCCCTTCCTTCCCCTCCAACTCCCTCTCCTGCCCCCCCTCCCTCCCTCCCTCCCTCCCCCAAAACACGTTGACCTCGCCTGCACTCACCTGAGCGACTGCGCAGGCGCCGAGGACCACCAGGACGACGGGGCACCTGACGGTCGCCATGGTAACCAGCAATTACTCTGCTCCGGTCATCTCAGTCGAGGGGGAAAAAGTGGCGTAGTTGGCGAGGGTCTGTGACCTTCCGTGACTACTGGTCGCTCTCGTCACCTAGGGTCACAGGTTGACTACTGGTCGCTCTCGGGTAGCACAGGTCACCTAGGGGTCACAGGTTGACTACTGGTCGCTCTCGGGTAGCACAGGTCACTTAGGGGGGTCACAGGTCATCCGCGGAGCTAAGGTGGGGAACTTTACGAAAGCACAGGGTGGAAATATTTTTGTGTTAAGCTTTATTTGAGTTGTTTATTTGTATTTATTTAAAGATTCTTTGCTCGATTTTTAGGATTGACTCATTATCATCACAATTCCCCAAATTGCACTTTTTTTTTTTCCTTCAATTCTTTCTTCCCAATCACTTCTCTTTTCTCTTAACAACTTTTTGCTTTTAAACTTTCACTTTTAATTATCATAACTCGAAGCAAAATTATCCAACTCCTAGTTTGTAATTATCTAAACGAGGTAGTTATTCTTGGTAGTTTTTCACACTCACTCTAATTAAGATTTCTGCGCAATAATTTCAGAGATTTTTTTTCCTTCAAGTGAACCATCCACACATTCGTCTGTATCTGAAATGTAAAAAGAAAGTGGTCATTACACATTTGAAAAAAAGGAAATGTATTGTATGTGGATCGTTATTGAAACATGTTTTAGTCAGTTTAGAAACAGCGATGCATTTTCGGGGATAAATTTTATTTCTTTATATTCGTTATTGAAACATGTTTTAGTCAGTTTAGAAACAGATGCATTTTCGGGGATAAACTTTATTTCTTTATATTCGTTATTGAAACCTGTTTTGGTCAGTTTAGAAACAGTGATACATTTTCGGGGATAAACTTTATTTGTTCATATCATCCCTGAATAACCTTCTTTCAAAATTATAGCCACAAAACATTCTTTCAACTTTTCTACAAAAGTCTGCGGACCTGCACGCCGCATTTCCCGACTCGCTGTCAGTGCCACCCGAAGATAAGCTAAGCATATTTAAACTGCAGCAGTATTTTGGGAATGAAATAATGGGGCTTAACTGAAGAAGAAGAAAAAACAACAACAACGGCATGTTTTGAAAATGTGATCTTTTTTCCGGGGCTGAAAATACGCCGGCTTGGATTTGTCACAGTTGCATATTTCATTTTAAAATAATGTCCAATCTCTTTTCCTTTTTTTTGGGAAAGAAAATTAAAAATAAAGCTTCAACACGCTTCGTTAAACTCCGTTTTCTAAACAAAAACAAAAACAAAAAGCAGTCAAAACAGATTTCGAGGACTCGGCAACAGCCCAAACTGTTTCACTTCAACAGCAGCTGTCATTTTTACGGTTTGGCTGATTGTCTCAACAGCCACGGCCGCCGAGCACAAAGTGGACCGTACGGAAGAGTGAACATTCGCTAACAAAGCACCCTATTGGTCGGGCCTTGAGAGGGGAAGGCGCTGATTGGTGGGCTCCATTGTCTGCCCGATCCCGCGTCCCGTCAATACCTGCCCCCCCCCCCCCCTTCTCTCGGGCCTTCCGCTGGCTTGCTCTCGGCGCTTTCGTGCTCATTTCTCGATCATTTCTCACTTTCTCCATTTTCTTCCCCTGTTCCGAGAGGATGTCGCCGAGGGGGGGAGGGGGGAGGGGGAGGACGTCTCCTTCCAGAAGTGGCGCGGGTGTCGGAGTCGTGTTGCGGCGGAGGAGGTGACAGGTCCTCTTCCCTCCTCCCCCCCTCCCTTCACTCCCCCCCTTCGACAGGTCCTCTTCCCCTCCTCCTCCTCCCCCTTCACCCCCATCCCCACCCCTCCCTCACCGCCAACGAAACGGGGCGATAAAAGTCCGCAGATTTTATGCGCCGGCGCGTTCAATCACGAATGGCAAAATAAGGATTCGTTGAAAAATAGATAAATAAATAAAAATTCGGCCCCGCTTGCAGATACGCCTGCACGTCCAGCCAATTTCGGATTTCGAATATACGTAGTTTTAAAATTATTTCATTATTACTTAAAAGCATTATCGCTAATCATCATCATCATCAATCACCATCACCCTCATAATCATTACAATTTCCTTACAATCACCATCACTGACGTCATTTTTTATCATTTCATTATTACTTATAAACATTATCGCTAATCATCATCATCATCATCACCATCACCATCACCCTCATAATCATTACAATTTCCTTACAATCCCCATCACTGACGCCATCACCAACGTACAAGTTTTGCCTTAATTCCGTATCTTATTATTTCATTATTACTTATAAACATTATCGCTATAATATCATCATCATCATCATCATCATCATCATTACCCTCATAATCATTACAATTTCCTTACAATCCCCATCACTGACGCCATCACCAACGTACAAGTGTTGCCTCCATTCCGTATCTTTTTATCATTTCATTATTACTTATAAACATTATCGCTAATCATCATCATCATCATCAATCATCATCCTCATTACCCTCCTAATCATTACAACTTCCTTACAATCCCCATCACTGACGCCATTTTTTATCATTTCATTATTACTTATAAACATTATCGCTACAGTATCATCATCATCATCATCATTACCCTCCTAATCATTACAACTTCCTTACAATCCCCATCACTGACGTCATTTTTTATCATTTCATTATTACTTATAAACATTATCGCTATAATATCATCATCAATCATCATCATCCATCATCATTACCCTCCTAATCATTACAATTTCCTTACAATCCCCATCACTGACGCCATCACCAACGTACAAGTTTTTGCCTTAATTCCGTATCTTATTATTTCATTATCACTTAAAAGCATTATCGCTATAGTATCATCATCATCATCAATCATCATCATCATCACCCTCCTAATCATTACAACTTCCTTACAATCCCCATCACTGACGCCATCACCAACATACAAGTGTTGCCTTCATTCCGTATCTTTTTTATTATTTCATTATTACTTATAAACATTATCGCTATAGTATCATCATCATCACCATCCTCATTACCCTCATAATCATTACAACTTCCTTACAATCCCCATCACTGACGCCATCACCAACGTACAAGTTTTGCCTCCATTCCGTATCTTTTTATTATTTCATTATCACTCAAAAGCATTATCGCTAATCATCATCATCATCATCAATCATCATCACCCTCCTAATCATTACAAATTTCCTTACAATCCCCATCACTGACGCCATCACCAACGCACAACTTTTTGCCTCCATTCCGTTTCTGGCTCGACGCGGGAGTGGCAAATGCGAAGTGTTTTGGAAATCAAAATATTTCCTTTTCGGATTCCCTTCCTCGACTCAATCTCTCGCTGTCACACGCACTCGCACGCCGTTTCATTTCCCTGAAAGTCCAACAACTTCATCACAAAACAAGATCTATCTGTCACTCTATCCCTGTGGGTGTGTGAGGGAGAGAGGGAGAGGGAGGGAGAGAGAGAGAGGGAGAGAGGAGAGAGAGAGTGAGGGAGGAGAGAGAGAGGAGGGAGGGAGGGAGAGAGGGAGAGGGAGGGAGAGAGAGAGAGAGAGAGAGAGAGAGAGAGGGGAGGGAGGGAGGGAGGGAGGAGGGAGGAGAGGGGGGGGGAGGGGGGAGGGGAGGGGGAGGGGAGAGAGAGGGAGAGGGAGAGAGAGGGAGAGAGGGAGAGGGAGGGAGAGGGAGAAGGGAGAGGAGAGGAGAGGGAGAGGGAGAGGAGGGAGAGGGAGAGGGAGGGAGAGGGGGGGAGAGAGAGAGAGAGAGAGAGAGAGAGGGAGAGAGAGAGAGAGAGAGAAGGGAGAGGGGAGAGGGAGAGGAGAGGGAGAGGGAGAGGGGAGAGGAGAGGGAGAGGGAGAGGGAGAGGAGAGGGAGAGGAGAGGGAGAGGGAGGGAGGGAGGGAGGGAGGGAGGGAGAGGGAGGGGGGAGGGAGGGAGAGGGAGAGGAGAGAGAGAGAGAGAAGAGAGAGAGAGAGAGAGAGAGAGAGAGAGAGGGAGAGAGAGAGAGAGAGAGGAGACGGAGAACGGCGGCCCAAAGGACCAGGTCTCTTCTTTCCATTAACAGGAAGATCAGATCCGAGCCCTGCTCTCTCCCTCCTCCGCCCTCTCTTCCCTCCCTCCCTCCTCCCCCCTCTCTCTCTCCCCTCTCCCTCCCCTCTCCTCCCTCCTCTCTCTCTCTCTCTCTCTCTCTCTCTCTCTCTCTCTTCTCTCTCTCTCTCTCTCTCTCTCTCTCTCTCTCTCTCTCTCTCTCTCTCACCATCCACCCACCCTCCTTCCCTCCCTTCACCTCTCCTCCCCTCCTTCCATCTCTCCCTCCCACCCCCTCCCTCACCCACCCACCCCTCTCCCTCTCTCAAAGCCAAAAACCGGAAAAAGAATCGAAAGCAACTGCTTCACACTCGACTCAGAGGGCCAAAGTTTCCCGAATCTCCGAAGCTCCGAATCTCCGAATCTCCGAATCTCCGAATCTCCGAATCTCGAATCTCCGAATCTCCGAATCTCCGAATCTCCGAATCTCCGCCCGAATCTCCGAATCTCCGAAGCTCCGAATCTCACGTTCGATCGCAGTCGAGCCACTTTGAAGACGCGATTCAGATTCACGACCGTCGACCGCGACCCGGAGTCCACGGGCCGCCGTCCGTGGCTTCGAACCCGAGGGGGGGGGGAATGTTCGAACCAAGGGGGTGGGGAGGAAGGGGGAGGGATGTTCGAACCCAAAGGGGGATGTTCCCGAACCCGTGTTTCGAACCCAGGGGGGGGGGGGATGGTCGAACCCAAGGGGGGGAGGGAGGGGAGGAAGGGGGAATGTTCGAACCCAAGGGGGGGAGGGGGAGGGGGGGGTGTTCGAAACCCAAGGGGGGAGGGGGAGGGATGGGGGGGGGGATGGTGTCGAACCAAGGGGCGGGGAGGGAGGGGGGAAGGGGGGATGTTCGACCCAAGGGGGGGCGGGGAGGGGGAGGGGGGGATGTTCGAACCCAAGGGGGGGAGGGGGAGGGGATGTTCGAACCGGGATGTGTCGAACCCAGGAGGGGGGGGGGAGGGGGGCGGGGGGGGAGAGGGGGACGGGGGATGGGGGGGATGTTCGAACCCAAGGGGGGAGGGGGAGGGGATGTTCGAACCTGAGGGGGTGGATGTTCGAACCCAAAGGGGGGGGCCGGGGAGAGGGGGCGAAGGGGGGGATGTTCGAACCCAAGGGGGGGAGGGGAGGGGTTATGTGTCGAACCCAAGGGGAGGGGAGGGGGAGGGATGTTCGAACCCTGAGGGGGGGACGTTCGAAACCCAAGGCGGGGGGAGGGGGAGGGGGGGGGATGTGCGAACCGCAAGGGGGGAGGGGGAGGGGATGCTTCGAACCTGAGGGCGGATGTTCGAACCCAAGCGGGGGGAGGGGGAGGGGGAAAGGGGGGAGTGTTCGAACCCAAGGCGGGGGAGGGGGAGGGCGGGGGATGTTTCGAACCCAAGGGGGGGATGTTCGAACCCAAGGGGGGGAGGGGAGGGGAGGTGGGATGTTTCGAAGAGCCTACGGGGGGGAGAAGGGAGGGTGGGATGGTTCGAACCCCAAAGGCGGGGGGAGGGGAGGGGAGGGATGTTTCGAACCCAAGG